GGGGGATGGGGCGGGGGTGGCGGGTGGGTGATCTGAGCAGGTCAGATTAGCCGGGATTCTACGTACTGCGAGGAAACCGAGGTCCAGAAAGGGGAAGGAGCTAGCTCAGGGTCAGGCCCCAAGCCCACAGCAGGGCCGGACAAGAGCAATCTCTGGAGAGCCAAGGGGCGTCTACAGCAGTAGGAGTTAGGCAGGCGGACTTGGGTTGGGGTAGTGTCGGGGTGTGAATAGGCCCCCATTAGTCATGAGACCTCAGGCAAGGTCCTTACCTTCTCTGAGTTTGTTTCTTATCTGAAAAGTGGGTGTAATAATACTTATTTCATAGGTTGTGCTGAGGTTAAGTGATACAATGCCTGAAAATGCTAGTGTAGAGAAGTCTTAATAGCCGGCAATGGCATTGTATTATTACTGCTGGTAGAATTACTGTTATATTTCCACATAGACCAGATGGCTAAAGAAGGAACAGGGCTAAATGCATCAAAGGAAGACAGCTTTACTCCCTCCCCACCCCCTTTCCTTGCCCCTTTCCCCCTGCCCCAGGGAAAACTCCTCAGCATGAGAGATTCCCATTGGCCCAGAAGCTGCCTCTCACCGGGAGATTCAACTGGGACTCCAGGCCTGCCTGGTCTGCCCAATGGTCTGTCCCTTTGAGCCCAGCGGGAGGAACCAGGGTGGCAGGAGACCCTGATAGGGGCCTGCAGGGTTGTGGAGCCAATCTCCTGACTTCTGTGGCAGTCTGGTGGGGGAGGAGGGGTAGAGAACAAATAGAGGCTAGGTGAGGAGGCGGCAGGCAGAGGAAAGGGGCAGGAGTGCCCCAGGAGGGGATGGTACTGAGGTAGGGATTAGGCTGGGGGGTCATGTCTGCTGAGAGGAGAAGGGCCCTTTAGAGTTTGCAGGGACATGGCCACAGAGAACCTGGGAAATGGGAATAGAGAAGAAAGAGGAACCTACTGGGGTTCTTGGGACTTTGTGCAGGACACTGGGGGAAGGAGGCACTACACCTTCACCTGCACCTACCTCTAGGTAAGGGTCTTCTCTGGGCCTGTTGGGCTGTCTGCTGCCTCTGCTCCTGGAGAAAGGTGCAGGAAGGGGCCTCACAGTTACCTGCTGTCCCTACAGCATACAGAAAGGCCACAGGAAGGGGAGAAGGTCAAGGTGGCATCAATTTCTGAGGCATGGGATCTGTTCTCAGAGGTTGGCCCCCCTCACCCCCCACCACAGGCTGCTCTTTTGCATCTCTGTGTGTGTGAGAGATTGTGTGTATGTTTCTATATGCATGAATTCACAAGGTCATCCCTGGGGGCGGGGTCATGAGAGAGGTGAAGTGTGACCATCTTTCTTCCATACGTTCATACTCTTAATCTCATGCAGTTGCATCACTTGAAGTACCACTTATATGCTGATGATGTCCCCACCAAAGGAAAAAAAAAAAAGCCATGTATCGTCAAACCCATTGTCACCCACAAACTCCATGCTTGCATCTCCTACTACTACTACCTACTCAACATCTCCACTTGATGTCTAATAAAGTTAATGTGTTCACACTCCAACTCCTGGTGTCCAGCCCTTCCACCTGCTCCTCCCCCAGTCTCCCAGTCTTCCCCATTTCAGCATATGACAACTCCATTTTTCCAGATGCTTAATCCTAAAACCTTGTAGTATTCCTTGACTCCTATCTTTCTCTCTCATCTTTCAACCCATCCATCAGCAAATACTGACAGCTCTACTTCAATCATCAAAGCATATTTGGAAATCGCCCTATTCTATGCACTATCATCTCAGATTATTGCAGGAGCCTCCTAGCTGGTTTTCCTGCTTCCACCCGTGCCTGCTGACAATAAACTTTTCACAGTGCAGTCAGAATGACTTTTTAAAATTTAAAGCCTGATGGGCCGGCCTGGTGGCGCACTGCTACAGTGCGCCGCTTGAGAGCGCGGCGGCGCTCCCGCCGAGGGTTCGGATCCCACATACAGACCGGTTCCCGCTCACTGGCTGAGCGAGGTGCGGGCGCAACACCGAGGGTTGCGATCCCGTTGCCGGTCCCGGTCCGGTACGGGTGCGACACTGAGGGTTGCGATCCGTTGCCGGACACGAAAAAAGACAAAAAGGAAAAAAAAAAATTTAAAGCCTGATCATGGTCTGTGCTCAAAACACGTTCTGTGGTCTCCCATCTCGGTAAAATCCAAGGTTTTCCCCCAAGGTCACCAAGACCTTCTTTGACTTGGCCTCCTTTCTGACTTCATCTCCCACCACTCCCCATTCTCCATTGTGCAATTCAGCCCTACTGGTCTCCTGTCTCAGGGCCGTTGCACTTGCTGTTCCCTCTGTCCGGTTCATTTCCCCTGATCTCTGATTCTATCTCTTCCTTCAGGTCTTTGCTGTTTCCCTGGACCATCCTATCTAAAATAGCATTCCCTCTCCTCCACTGTAGTCCCCTTACTCTGCTTTATTTTTCTTCATAGCCCTTATCACTAGCAGATGTATTACAGATGTTCATGGTTTATTCACCACCCCATCCTAACACACAAAAGAATCTAAGCTCCAGGAAGGCAGGGACTTTTTTTTTTTTGTTCACTGTTCTATCCCCTTGTGCCTAGAACTACACCGGCACACGGGAGGAACTAAGTACACATTTACTGAATAAAAGTGACTCCGTGTGATATATAAGACTGTGTTTTGATGTTTGGGGGACGGTCCCTGTCAGCCTTTGCTGTTTGCTTCTTCGAATCAGGCCATCTCTTTAAAATCCAACTTAAGACGTCTCCTGCAAGAAGCCTGGTCCCTTAACACCTTTGTGGCTCTAAGACTTTTCGATCCTTGACCCCAAAAGCAGATCCAGGTTTTATGGGGCTAAGGGTTTATATACTTGTGGAGACCCTCTTAAGAATACAAAAGACAAACATAAAATTAAGTATGAAAGTGAGCATTTATTTAGTTCGGGAAAATAAACCACAACACATCACTAGAATCTTGGAGACTGGTTTGCCTACCTTTTGAGACCGCCGTGGACAATTTACCTGAAATGTTTTCTGGTGGCAACCTGGCTTCTCCACACCGAGACTACCAGCGCCAGCCTTCTGAGCACTTGTTGGCTTCGCGGTAAATCCTCGCTACTAGGTCTCCCGCCCTCGCCCCCTTTTCTCCTGTCCAGAGACACTCGAAGCTTACCTTCCCCTCCTCCACAGACAGGCGCATCACTGGATCTGGGTGGTGCGAAGAGCATCTGTACAGGAGCCACGCGACCCGGCCTCTGTATGTCCCTGGAACGTGCAGGACCTCATCTACGAAATGGGAGCTTGGACAGAGCTGTCCTGTAGCCTCCTACATGAGGATCTTCGGACTAGGAGGGCACCAGGAGGGCTCTGGGAACTCTGGCCCTAGTACAAGCACAACCCTGTGACCCCTACCTCCGTCCCTCCTTGCCCTTCGCTCCCTAGGCACTGTGCGACCAGACCTGGGACCACGGTATTCCCCACTCCGCGTTTCCGGGTCTGGATCAACAACGCACCGCACGACAAACCTCGCGAGAACCCCGCTCCGAACCGAAGTTGAGAAGCGTGGCCTTTCTCGCTTTCCGTAGCTCGGCGTTGCGGTTCCTGCGCAAGCGCTTCCTGGCCGCGGCTGAGGAAGCCTCCGCAGAGGTGACAGTGGACCCGAAGCCGGGAGGTTTCAGTGAGTAGGGAACTGATCTGAGTTTGAGCGTTCCCCTTCAGTCCCCTCCTTCGATTCCTTAAAGAGGAAGGGCCCTAGGACTTAGCAGCTAAGCAGGAGGGCCCGGGATTTCTGCATCCCCAGCCCTATGACTCAGGGGCTCCTGTCCAGTCCCCCTTCCCAGGATTTCGATTCAGTTCAGCAAAGTCACCGCCCTGTTGAGAGATGAAGAAGCCAAGGCTTAGAGCGCAGCCCCAGGCGACGTCTGCCAGGTCCTGTCCCCTCTCCTCAGTTCCTCGATCAGCACTGACTCCCCGTCCCTCCTCCAGGGCCCCTTCTCCTGGGTCCAAGGTACCGTGCAGGTTTTGGTCTTAGCCGCAGGCTGTCAGTCACCCTCGCCTCCTCTCCCTGACTGTCCGCAGGCCTGGGCAGCATGGCCGTATTCCGGTCGGGCCTCCTGGTGCTGACGACACCGCTGGCCTCCCTGGCCCCTCGCCTGGCCCCCATCTTGACCTCGGCGGCCCGGCTGGTGAATCACACACTCTATGTACACCTGCAGCCTGGCATGAGCCTGGAGGGCCCGGCTCAGCCCCAGTCCAGCCCCGTGCAGGCCACGTTTGAGGTTCTCGATTTCATCACCCACTTCTACACCGGTGCCAATGTCCACAGGCATCTGGACGTCAGAATCCTGCTGACCAACATCCGAACCAAGAGTGCCTTTCTCCCTTCCCTGCCCAGCTCGGTCCAGAATCTGGCCCACCCGCCGGAAGTGGTGCTGACTGACTTTCAGACGCTGGATGGAAGCCAGTACAACCCTGTAAAGCAACAGCTAGTGCGCTATGCCACCAGCTGTTACAGCTGTTGCCCACAGCTGGCTTCGGTACTGCTATGCCCCGATTATGGGACTGGAGGGCTGCCTGTGGAGTCCCTGGATGTCCCCTTACCTTCCACCACCAGGCCACCTTCCCCCGTGGCCAGGTCTCCAAAGCAGCCAGTGCGTGGCTACCACCGTGGGGCTGTGGGTGGCACATTTGACCGCCTGCACAATGCCCACAAGGTGTTGCTCAGTGTCGCATGCATCCTGGCCCAGGAGCGGCTTGTAGTGGGAGTAGCAGACAAAGATCTGTTGAAGAGTGAGTGAACGGGACCCTGGATCAAGGCAGTAGAGGACCCCGGGATCTCCTTGCTCTTCCCCCACCGTTATGCCAAGATCAAGGAAGAGCACGGCCATCCATTATTCACTCCTCCTAAACATCACAGTGCCTGACATTCAGTTAGTGCTACGCAAATTTCGTTAAATGTTGGTTAGTGTGGTGCTGATAACATCAAGCTGAAAGGTGAAGGGTTTGGATCCCAGTACTGGCCAGCCATCAAAAAAAAAATTTTTTTTTGGTAAATGAGTAAAGGCAGCTTTCTCAGCATGTGGTCCAATCACCACTCAGTCAGAATCCCCCAAATGTGAAACCAAGGAATCTGTACTTTAACAAGTTCTTCAGGCAATGAACCCTAAAGTTTGAAACGCTGGGAATAAATGGATGAATGAGTTGTAGGTAGTAGTGCCACAGAGAGTTAAGAGGGGATTCAAGGATGGTGTGGCTCTTGGAATTCTCTGACTCTCATGCCTAATGGTATTGCTGGTTCTCTGGAGTAGTTTCCTGGTGGCTTGTTCTCTGGACATGTGCCAGCCCTTACCGTGAATATTGTATGGTGCTTGCCTGTTTCTTCCCCTTCTCTCCTCCCCCCTCCCCCCGTCCCAGGATCTCCCTAGCGTAACCCTTTCTTCCTGCCACCCCTCTCTGGAGACATGGCAGTTAAGGACATTCTTCCCCAAACTGGCCTACACTCTTTCTACCCAGTAAAATGATCTCACTGTTCTTTTGGGCTCCTTCTCCAGGCAAGTTGCTCCCTGAGCTGCTCCAACCTTATGCAGAACGCGTGGAACATCTGAGTGAGTTCCTGGTGGACGTCAAGCCCTCCTTGACTTTTGATGTCATCCCCCTGCTGGACCCCTATGGGCCCGCTGGCTCTGACCCCTCCCTGGAGTTCCTGGTGGTCAGCGAGGAGACCTACCGTGGGGGGATGGCCGTCAACCGCTTCCGCCTTGAGAATGTAACCCCTGAGGGAGACTGGCAGAGGGAGTGGATGGGGACGGGAAGGCCATTGAGGGGGGCTGTTGGAAGTACCATGACCCCAGAGGAGGGAAGAGAGGGCTCAGGGTGGTGGGAAGAAACAAGGAGGAACTGGATATCCACTTGCCCGCTGAGTTGCAGGAGGAGCAGCTCGGGTTAGGTAGGGTAGGGGAAGGGGGCAGGTTGGATGTCAGGATTTGACCTTCTTCCTCTCACTCCCTCCTTCTGTTTTCCCACTGTTCCCCCTTTACCTCAGAACCTGGAGGAGCTTGCCTTGTATCAGATCCACCTGCTGAAGGACCTAAGTCATGAGGAAAACGAAGAGGACAAAGTCAGCTCCTCCAGCTTCCGCCAACGAATGCTGGGAAATCTGCTTCGGCCTCCACATGTAAGCCTTCCCTTCCTCCTGCCCTTTCTCCCTGCTGCTTGGGTATGCTAGAAATGCTGGAGAGTAGAAACAGAGGGCCCTAGTAACTGTGGGGTGCCCTTGCATCTACCCCCCAGGAGAGGCCAGAACTCCCCTCACAACTCTACGTGCTCGGGCTGACCGGCATCAGTGGCGCTGGGAAGAGCTCAATAGCTCAGCAGCTGAAGGGCTTGGGGGCGTTTGTCATTGACAGTGACCAACTAGGCCATCGGGCCTACGCCCCTGGTGGTCCTGCCTACCAGCCTGTGGTGGAGGCCTTTGGAACAGGTAATAACTGGGATGGGCTGAAGTAAGGAGATGGCCTGGCCTCCTTGCTCACTCCTCTGTCTCTGTTATTCAGATATTCTCCATAAAGATGGCATTATCAACAGGAAGGTCCTAGGCAGCCGGGTGTTTGGCAACAAGGTAAACACACACCTTTCCAAGGGTTCTTCAGCTGCTACTAGATCCAGGGGTTGGGATCCAGCAGACTTCTCTGGCCTGGCCCGGAATGCCAATTTCCACTCATCTGTCCCCAGCTACCAAACTCCCTTGGGCTGGCTCTGTCTCTGAGGGAAGGTAACCTCTGCCCACTCCCTCTGTCCCCCTCACCAGAAGCAACTGAAGATACTCACAGACATTATGTGGCCAGTTATCGCAAAGTTGGCCCAAGAGGAGATGGATGTGGCTGTGGCTGAGGGTGAGTTGGGGGGGTGGGGGGTGGGAGCAGCCAAGGGGGACAGTTAAGCAGATTCTCCCCTGGGAGCTTCCCCATCCAAAGCCAGACTATCTACTTTCACTGGGACTATGTTTTGTGGGCTCTCTGACTGGTAGCAGGTATCAGGGTGCTGCTGACAGTGACTGGAATCTCCCCACAGGAAAGCACGTGTGTGTCATTGACGCGGCCGTGCTGCTTGAAGCTGGCTGGCAGAACATGGTACATGAGGTGTGGACCGTTGTCATCCCTGAGACTGAGGTATCTAGACCCCACCCCCCTGCTCCATCCCCACGGTAGACTGTATCCTGCTCTTAGCCAGTGGGCTGAGCTGAGATTTTTCCTGACAAATGCCTCGTCTGTGCTCAGGCTGTACGACGCATCGTGAAGAGGGATGGCCTGAGTGAAGCTGCAGCTCAAAGCCGGCTGCAGAGCCAGATGAGTGGGCAGCAGCTTGTGGACCAGAGCCACGTGGTGCTGAGCAACTTGTGGGAGCCACATATCACCCAGCGCCAGGTTGGTGCCCGGGGAAAGGTTAAGTTATGGGGAGGGAGTCTGCAGTGGGTGCCTATCTGACCCCATCCTCTCTTCCAATATTCTGGCCTACCTGAAGGTGGAAAAAGCCTGGGCCCTCCTCCAGAAGCGCCTCCCCAAGACTCACTAGGCCCATGACTGATGAAGAGTTCTCTGTTGGGCCCAGACAAGAGATCCAGCAGTGAGGAGGAGTGGGGGCCTTGATGCTCACCCTGGCTGAGGCCTAGAAGGCTCCAGGCCAAACTGTGCAGGACACGGCTGGGCCTCGTGGACATGGAAAGCCTACCCAGTATGCTGGTATTTGGCCACGTGCTGAAGATGTGGCTCATGGGGGAGCAGGCCCCCGTGGGGTTCCATCCTCACTCTTGCCCAAGGTTGTCTGTGATACCCATAGCTTACTAGGTCAGAGCAAACACTGGCACTTAAAACAGAATTAAAGGTAAATGTTTCCAGGTGCTTTCTGTATGGTGTCTGCTTCCTGCTTTGATGCTCTTGGTGTCTTTGGGATCCATACGCCACAAGTGCAGGGCCCAGGCCTGAGCTGGAAGCTGGGAGTGCAGAGGTTAAGAGCATGGCCATTGAAGCTCACCAGACTGACGTCAGCCACTGACTAGCTCTGTGCTTCTGAATAAGTTATAAACTTTCTAGGTACTTCAGTTTCCTTATCTATAAAGCAGCATAACTTAGCTAACAGGCTCGTTGCAAGGGTTAATTCCACAAGTGTCCTGCCAGATACTAGGCTAGGTGTTGGAAAATCATCCTTCAGCGCTCCAGGTGGGGCCTCTGCCCTCACAGAGCTTGCAGCCTCGTGGGGCCAGACAAATGTGACTCTGGGAGCTCTTCCTGGTCCCTGACATACTGGCCAGGACTGCAGGTCCGCGAGGCGAGTGGTGAGGGGCGAGCCGCCGGGCCAGGCACTGCGCATGCTCACACGATCGGCGACAATATTCATACAAGCCTTTAAGGGGATTTAATTTCACAGAATGTGCCTCAGGTCGCTGCCATCCCAATGCCTAATCCGGGGCGGGCAGGGGCGGACGGGGAGCACAGCACCCGACTGGCGGGTGTAAGTCCGAACGCCGGACTCCGCCGGCTCTACCCAACATGTAAAAAAAGCTTCGGGCTGCGCACGCGCAGTACTCTCGCCCCGCCCTCCGCCTTTCGATTGCGGATTGGTGGGCTTGGGTCACGTGGACGCGCCTTGCCTCTTCCTCGCTTCGGGGGGCCCGCCCGCTGGCTCGTTTCCGGTTCGGTGGGTCCATGATGACGGAGTCGGGCGCCTCTCCCGAGGACCCCTGGGTCAAGGCAAGTCCCGTGGGTGCGCACTGCGGCGAAGGGAGGGCGGGCCAGGCTCGTGCACGTAGGGGGTCCGGAAGACAAGGGACTTTCCTCCTGCTCCCAGAGTTCCCCCAGTTCTCCGGGCCCTGGGGCTGCAGGGAAGACAGCTCGCACCCCGCGTTTGCCAAGGTGGGGAGACAAACGAGGCACGTGTGCGCGAGTGTGAAGGAACGGGGGTCTGGAGGTCACGGAGGTGGAGGAGTTGGGGCTGAAGGGATCGTACAGAGGGGCGGCGCGCCCACGGCCTATCCAGTCTGGGCTCTCAGGGAAATCATTCAGCTGCCCGCGCACTCTGGGGTGGGTGGATGGGTGTGCGCGCGCGAGTGGAGGGACAGAGGCGCCTTCCCCTAGGGGCGGAGGTCTGACAGGCTTCTCCCTTGCTCGATGCCGTAGGTGGAGTATGCCTACAGCGACAACAGCTTGGACCCTGGTGAGTGCCTCTCCCACCATCTTCAGTTCGATTGACATTCCCGCTTCAGCTCTATAGATTCTTGTAGCCTTGCCAGCAACACCTGAGCACAGTCCACTCTCCCTGAGCTGAGTTCCTAGCTTGAGACAGTGAGGGAGGAGCTGGAAGGCAGGGGCAGGAAACAACCGAGGGTGACACCTAGTTCCCCCCTGCCCTTGGAGCAGGGAAGTGATGGAAATAGTGACACCTGGTCACTTTCCCATCCACATTATTGTCCAGATGCTCTTTTGCGAGGCAGGGAGTGTCTCTGCAGGCCTATGGAGCAGTGTCGACACTAGGGACAGGAGCATTGCAGCAGAGTATGGCAGGAAGTGGGTGGCCCAGTATGGCTGACTTTAGGGTTGAAGGGAAGAGGTCGGCATTTAAGGAAGCCCTTGCGCTCACAGCTGAGGGCCTGGCAATGTTCCCCACCCCACCCTTTAGTGATCGGGGCCTCTCTTTTCCAGGGCTTTTTGTAGAATGCACCCACAAGGGGAGTGTAGTGTCCAGAGCTAATAGCATCGGTTCCACCAGTGCCTCTTCCGTTCCCAACACAGGTAGGCAGCAACATCCCCCCCCCACTGGATGGAGGGGACTCAGATATGCCATTATGCCTTCATTTTAGTACCTTTCGTAGTCAGGGAAGCTTCATCCACATGGGAGTGCTGGAGCCCAAGTGCCACAGGGTCTCACTATCTTTCATCTCATGTAGGATATTAGGTTCTTCTGTCCATCTGCCATCTCTGGCACCAGGTTCTTTTTCCCAGCTGGGGAAAGGTGGGCTAGCTGGGCCCCACTGGGCCCCAAGGTGACCTCTCCCTGCCCCCAACTCTGAGCATAGATGACGAGGACAGTGATTACCATCAGGAGTCCTACAAGGAGTCCTACAAGGACCGGCGGCGGCGAGCACACACTCAGGCTGAGCAGAAGAGGAGAGACGCCATTAAGGTGATTGGGGAGGCCTGTGCCTCAGCCAGCACAGGAGGGCCCTGCATATTTCAGATTCACTTTGCCCTTACTCCCTTAGACAGTCCCATGCAGCCTTGGGGGCAGCTAGTCTAGTTCCTGGTCCTGAACACCTCCCTCCTTCCAGTCCTCCCACCCCTTTGTCATGGAAGAAAAGTTTTGTGCCAGTTTGCCTTAATCCCTCAGGGTTAAGGACCCCATTTCTCCTGCTCTCTCCACAGAGAGGCTATGATGACCTTCAGACCATCGTCCCCACCTGCCAGCAGCAGGACTTCTCCATTGGCTCCCAGAAGCTCAGCAAAGCCATTGTTCTACAGAAGAGTATGGCCAGGGACAGCACTGGAGGGGTTGGGGCCAACAGGGGCTATGAAGAGGCCAGCACCTCATACCCACCCTTAGCCTGGCCCTGGTTGGGGTATGGGGGAAGGGGAAACAAAATCAGTCCTCCTAGTTGAGACTTCTGTGCCCATCCCCTCTTCCCACCCCCAACCCAGCCATTGACTACATCCAGTTTTTGCACAAGGAGAAGAAAAAGCAGGAAGAGGAGGTGTCCACGCTACGCAAGGATGTCACAGCCCTAAAGATCATGAAAGTGTAAGAGTTCAGCACTGGAGGAAACCAGAGGTTCTGAGGACAACTTAAGTGCATACCCTGTCCTTGTCCAAAGGCCACATCAGAGTGCAGTACTTAGCTCAGTTGGTTAGAGCATGATGTCATAACACCAAGGTCAAGGGTTCGGATCCCCATACTGGCCAGCCACACACACACACACACAAGATAGTACAGTACAGGTAATATCTCACTTTCTGAGCTAGCCACTTAGAAGCAGGACTCTGTATCCCCATCAGTCCCTTACATGTGGTAGACACTCAGGAAATGCCTGCTGGATTAATGAAGGGAAGGTTGGAGAGAGAGGGTCACCATTCTGACTTACCTAGCTAATGCTGAATACATCCCAAAAGCTCTCTGGGAATCCCCTTTTGGGGAGGGAGGGGGATACATAGGGTAACCCCACCCTTCTTCCTGGGCTGGTACAGCTGCACAGTGCCTCAGCCCTGGCCTGCATGCTTTCAGGAACTATGAACAGATTGTAAAGGCACACCAGGACAACCCCCATGAAGGGGAGGACCAGGTCTCTGACCAAGTCAAGTTCAACGTGTTTCAAGGCATCATGGACTCCCTGTTCCAGTCCTTCAATGCCTCCATCTCTGTGGCCAGCTTCCAGGAGCTATCGGCCTGTGTCTTCAGCTGGATTGAAGAGCACTGTAAGCCTCAGGTATGGGGCAGCATTGGTCATGGGGTCTGGGTTTTTCTCCCTACCCGTAGGCAAAGTGAACCAAACCATTATTTGTTCGGAAAAGCATGGTAGCGGCTTTTAGGTTTCTGGAGGGTGTTTCTATGACTCTACATACTTCTCTTCTTCCCTCTTATTTGCTGTCTAGCTCACATTTTCATGTTATGGTTTCATTTAGCAAGTATGATGTGAGCACTCACTCAATGCAAGGCCTAGTTCTCAGCTTTTGTTAGCCCATTAAACAAAAAAATTGCTGTCTTATTAGCCACTGCATGGAAGCCTCAATCACCTTGCAGCAGAATTACTTGGAGTTTTTGGAACCAATGCAGCAGTTGCTGTCACCCCACCCACAGGCCTACTAAAGTAGATGCCCCAAGGGCTTTTTGTGATTTTTTTTTTTTTTTTTTTTTGTAATGGAGAGATATGCAGTAGTGTTGCATTAAGTCTTCTGCCTTTGAGGCCTGGTTGTTTTTTTCCCGAGGCTTAAACTTGTATCTGAGATTCTTACTTGTTTCACAACATTTTTTATTGTGAAACACTTTAAACATACTGCAAAGTTGAGAGAATTTTACAATGAACACTGATATAACCCACCACCTAAATTCTACCAGTAACATTTTACTGTATTTGCTTTATCACGTATCTATCCATCTTTCCATCCTGTTTTGGGGCACTGCAGAATAAACTGTAGACATCAGTACTTCCCAGAGGCTTTTTTATTTTTTTTATTATTATTTTTTTTTTAAAAGATGACCGGTAAGGGGATATTAACCCTTGACTTGGTGTTGTCAGCACCACGCTAACCCAGTGAGCGAACCGGCCATCATCCCTATGTGGGATCCAAACCCGGGGCCTTGGTGTTATCAGCACTGCACTCTACCGAGTGAGCCACGGGCCGGCCCCCAGAGGCTTTTTTAAATGCACTTTTCTTTTTTTTTTTCCTTTTTGTCTTTTTTACTGACCAGTAACGGGATCGCAACCCTCGGTGTTGCGCCCGCACTGCGCTCAGCCAGTGAGCGGGAACCGGTCTCCACGTGGGATCCAAACCCTCGGTGGGAGCGCCGCCATACTCCCATGCGGCGCACTTCTCCAGTGTGCCACCGGGCCGGCCCTAAATGCACTTTTCTAATAAAGAGCATGCCTAGTCTAGGCAGGCATTTCTGAGCCATCTTAATGCCCTTTCCTGAGCATTGTCTGTCTCTTCCTCTGTTGCCCCTGCCAGACCCTACGGGAGATTGTAATTGGAGTCCTGCACCAACTGAAAAACCAGCTTTACTGACCGGCTCTTAGAAACCTGCAGAACAGTCAACAGGAGGCCCTTGAGTCTTTCTATTTGGCCACAGAGCTGCTGGGCCTATGAGATTGAACTACAACACCTCACACTGGTCAGCTGGTTTCTACTTGGTGTTTGGTTTTTCCCAGCCCCACTTCATCTTCAGTGGGGCTGGAGTGTTTGTTTTGTGAAAGCTTCTGATTAATTTATTATGTTGACCATAAAACTCAAACCTACCCAGTCTTCCTCCTCCCTAAGGAAGTCCTTGGGATGGGGGTCTGCTCTGGGCATGCCAAAGAGCCCCTGGCCTCTCAACCCTTTCTCTAAGCCTCAGATTTCTGCTCATGATTTACATATATTTGGAAACTGCCTCTGTTTTGGTCTCTTGGGCAACATTTGGCCCAAGTTTGGCCATTTTGGCAGTAGTCAGATGGGAGAAAAGGAGTATGAGGAAATACTCTCATAGCCATGAAAGGCCACCTTGTGCCGAGACTAGGGCAGCCTTGTCAGTCCAAGGTGAGGCCAGGGCGTTCTGGCCTGCTCAGGACTGGGCTACCAGATCCCTACCCCTCTCCCTTCCAATTCTCTCACCTCATCCCTCCCTATCGACTCCTGCTTTCTGATCCCATAGGCAGTAGTACTGCACGGCAAAGGCAGGTGTGACACAGCACTACATATTTGAAATTTTTATTTTTCTAAACACCAACAATGCAATTTTGCTAAAGTTACAATTTTGGAAAATCAACTGGGCCTCAAAACCACCCCAGCCTTTCCGTCAAGTGTATTTGGATCTCTACCATCTCTCAGTGTTGCCGGCATTTCTCCTAGGACTTGGAGGTGGGGTGAAAGAGTAAAGATACTCAAAATTTCTCCTGGGGTGCCTAAGCCCAGAGAATCCTGGGTGAAGCCTTAGGCTCTTCAAACGCTGGTGTATAGTAGTCTCTCTCTATTCTTGTCCCCCAAGCTCCCTTCTGCCTTTCACAGGTTTTATGTCTGGGAGGTTTAATGTTCCAGAGGAAATTAAATATTTTTATATCAAATTATATTACAATAAATACTGCCAAATGCTTTCCTTTAGCGCTGTTCCGAGTCTAAGTGTTAAGCTCAAACCATGACAATGAAATGGCCGTGACCATCCACTCCTGGTCACCAGTCCTCACTCCCTCCACCCAATACTCTAGTTTATGTGTCTGACTGCTCTGCTGTACCCTGGAAAGCACCACAAACAACAACAAAAGCCAACCTAAACAAGTTAGCCAGTCCAGGGCATTTCTATGTTCCCATCCCCTAGCACCAACAGAGGGCCCCTCAGGGGTCTGGGAGCTTGACGTTGTAATCTTCATCTGTCTCTATCCCAGCTTCCTCCTGTCAGGCAGGGAGGCAAGTGAATAAGACATTCCTGGGCAAAGACCCCAAGGGAGCAAGAAGAGAGAGAGTTACCACTTACAAAGAATTGCTTCTTGCTCTTCGGGTATCCTTCAAGAATTGCATCAGACAGTTCTGTAGCCTAATAAGAAATAAAACCACACTTTTCAGATGGACAGTATTAGGCACTGTCTATTGATTCTAAGACATTGGGTAACAGTTTTTCTGGTGGCTGATATTTTCAAAAGCACTTTCAGGGCCTGCCTTGGGGCTCCCACACACTTACCATCTTTTTCCGCTTCCTCCATTCCTTACAGTATTTCTGCCTCTCTTTGTATGCCTAGAAGAAACAGGTTCTTCTAACCCCCTCAGGCCCACTGCAGCCCACTGGGGGTCAACGTTTACTCCAGACCTGCACAGGCAGCCCTGCAGCCCTCCCTCCCAGTCACCTGCTCTCTCTCTCCTGGAGTCACATGATTGGTGGCTGCTTTGATGTTCCTCAGTCTCTCTGTGTAGCCAGCACATTCCTTCTTTAACTCCTGGATCTCTTTCTGCATGTCCGGTGTGGTCAAGGCACTGGTTAACTCCTTCAGCTCTGAAACCACATACCCCTGGAGTTACTTGCTTCTTGAGGAAGGGGTTCTATCTTTCCCAGTGGGTGCTTCCTGAGGTGGGAGACAGGCTTCCACCTTGCTCTGGGATCTATCCAGAATAGGGTCCCACATTCTGGAAATGCTCAGGAAAATAAGGATTATAGAATTATCAGTTTCTTCTATTTTTCTTTCCTCCTCTGTCTACAATTAGTGGTGGGGTGTGAGATTGAGCAAACTTAGGTGTAACAAGTTAAAGAAGCGGGGGTGTGTGTGTGTGTGTGTGGCAAGCTTGCTCAGCTGGTTAGACTGTGGTGCTGATAACACCAAGGCCCAAGGTTTCATCCCTGTATCAGCAGCCGTCAAAAAAACCCCTGAAAGAAGCAGGAATAAAGGGAAGCACAGGGACAGTGTACTGACTATCATGGCAGGGAAAGCAAATGCATATCTTCCCCATTTGTACACAAAAGCCATTAGCTGTTCTACATTTCTTTTAATGTGATGCCTAAGGCAGCCTAGAAAAGGGGGCTTTTAGCTGCAAGAAGATGCTGCAGTCAACAAAGCACTCATTTAGTAATTCCTGACCTCCAGACTGAACCTGACTCCATGAGCACCGTCCAGGGGCTGCCCAGTCCTACCAGCCTCCATTTGGCGGCAGTTCTGCTGCAAGCTCTGCACCTTAGCAGTGAGGGCCACGATTTTGGCATCCAGGCATTGGAGGTCAGCATCACTCACCATGTCAAACTGGCCCTGCCAGAGACGAGGAGAAATGTAAGTGAACCTGATGCGAGGCACAAAGATGGGAACACATATCTGGAAAAGCAACATTCAAATGCACTCAAGATTTGGTTAGAATGTGGTACTGATAACACCAGTGTCAAGGGTTTGGACCCCTGTACTAAGCAGCCTCAAAAAAAAATAAACAAAAACACTGAAGGACCTGTTACTCCCCAAACTCGCCAGAGAGCCTGGGAAATAGTGGGAGGATACTTTGGAGGGATCATTCAGCTAAGTACTGGTCCCAATAAAAAGGTATGAAAGAAAAACTGAAACCTAATGCCAACTTCAAGGAGCTAACAGGTTGGCAGGGTACTGAATAGGACAGAAATATCTTTCCATTTAGTGATAAAACCACTCACTGGGCTGAAGGAGTAAAGTAACATTCTTTCCAAGGTGGGGAAACCGAGATCATGGGTTTCCACAATAGGAAGAATCTGGACAGGTGAAGAGGCACCACTGGTAGAAAAGGACTGTGTTGAGGATCAGTGGGGGTCATGTCAGTTGGTGACAGAGAGCATTAGAAAAAAAAGCAAGCATAAAGTTAGGAAAAAACTGAATGCTAGCCTGGGCAGTCTGGACTCCACGCTTAGGCAACCTTTAGAGGGGCCAGCAAACTACAGCCTACATGTTTTTGAAAAAATTTTATTGAAACAGCCTATCCACACCCATTCCTATACATAGTCTATGGCTACTTTTGCTCTATAATGGCAGAGGTGAGTAGTCGTGACAGTTGTAGAGGTGTCCATATGGCCCACAAAGTCTGATAATGCTGTGCACCCTTTACAGAAAAAGTTTGCCAACCCATCCTTCAGGGGACTTGCAGCAGAATAGTGACGATGAAAGGCTTTTAGCCTTGAAGGTGGTTTGGTTCAGTAAAATGAGTATTTACTGGATGTTAGATATGGTGGAGGTGCTGAGTAAATGAGAATGAGAAATAGGGTCTGCCTTCAAGGAACTTCAGGTTAGTGAAAGTAAAAAGACAGTTATAATACATGCCTCAAAACAGGTAAGAGCCTGAAAAAGAGACAATTAGCTGGAGAAGGTGATGCGTGAGTGAATTCTCAAGGATGAGTAAGAGTTAGCCGGGCAGAGCGGCAGAAAGGACTAGAACTCCAGGCAGAGGGAGGACAATGAGCAGAGGACAGAGGAGTGAGACGTGAGTTGTCTAGTGTGGATGGATGGAGAAATAATGAGACACAGTGTTGTAACACCAAGGCCATGAGTTTGGATCCCCATACCCGCCAGCACTAAAAAACAATAATAATAATAATAAGGACAGGTGAGGCCAGAGGCTGGCTGGGGCAAGACTCCAAGTGCCTTTTCTTTGGAGCTGGAGAGCCATCGAAGAGTTTTAAGTAGGGAAGGAGCATGGCCAGATCTGCATTTAGATAGATCTTTCTGGTTGTGATGTTTAAGATATGTATGGGATGGGATGTTACAGGGATATTGGAAAGATGAAGAGGGCCTGAACTAGAGCAGCAACGGCACACAGAAAGGAGAGTGGATTCAAGAAGGGAAAATCAGCTGGACTTGATGACTGACTAGACATGTGAGATAAGAGAAGTCAAGAATTACTCCCAAGTTTCTGATATAGGTGAAGAGTGGTTCCCTGAAGGGAGAAGATTGCTAGAGAAGAGCCAGTTTGGAGGGAAAGATAAGGCATTCTACTTCAACAATATTGATTGATACTGATGTCTGAGAGACATACAAAGTGGAGGTCTGGGCTAGAGAATACAAATTTGATATGTGTTTTTAGGGAGGGCGGTTGGAGGGAGAAGGAAAATCATTTGGCAGAGGGTGGTGCTAGGCTAGATGATAGTGAATAAAAGTTTCCAAGCCAAAATGGATCTTGGTAGCAACAATTCAGGATATTGTCTTCCATCATGTTGCAAATCTGGAATCCTCCGTAAATTTGGATTTTAGCGAACGGAGCACACACTTTGACTTAACGAAGTGTGAGGACCTTCTAATGGCATAAGACAGGTGAGTTTCATCGGGTGCCTCAACTCTCCCACAGACAGTTGATCTTAGGAGTTGATTCACCCAATGTTGGGCTCTCACACGGATGGTAATTTGCACAGGTTCTCCTCACCTGATCCGCAAAATAGATCTTCTGCTTGCCGTACGTCTTCTCTTTGATCTTGCCTTGCTGGGCCAGCTGCTCCAGCGCCTTCACCACCGCCTGGCGGAGGGGAGATGGAGGGAGGAGCGAGGGAATCAGAGCAGCCTTCGTGCCGGGGCAGGGAGAATTTCAGCGAGGGATGGAGCAAGCGCCTAAGGCTCGAGAGGGCAGGGCCACGGGGCCACGGGGAGGGAACCTGGGAGAGGGGCCTCACCGCCTTGCCCAGTTCGTGTTCCCGCTGCAGGTTCCCGAACACGTCCTGGGCGCTGTAGGGCCGGTTCTGCTCCTGCAGGTACCTCAGGAGGATCCCGGGTGCTACGGAGAGAGGCGAGGCAGGGCAGGGGCCGCTCACCCGCCGCCCCACTCGCGCCGCTCCCGGGCCTCCCCGCGCCCACGCCGCCGTTACCTCCCGCCGCAGCTTCCGCCCGGCCTTTACTCATGTCCTTTCCCGCCGCCAGACTCAGAAAGCCGGACGTTGCGGTTGCTCGGGGCGACGGCTCCTTCCGGCAACGGAAGGGGCGGAGGAGGGCCTCGGGCGGTGATTGGCGGAAGCGGAAGCCGTCGGAGGAGCCGAGCGGCCCTTCCCGGACGCCGTAGCCTCTTCAGCTGGGGTCCTGGAGCCCGGCGGCCGTCCCCGGGGCCCGACGCGGCAGGGGCCGCGCAGCTTCGGGCCTCCTCATTCCCCTCGGAACGAGGACTGTGGTAAAGACCTTGACGTTTCGAGACTCAGGTCCAGCCGCGGCTGAGCCCTTGTGATCTTGGGCTAGGCTCAAGTGTTGGAAGGGGAAGAAACTTCAGGGATGGGCAAACGACAAACTCAAGGTCACAGGGCTAGTTCCCCACAGGGACATATCCTCATCCCACGGCCCAGCGCTCTTTTGTAGGTTAGTTCTGTCACTTGTAAAGTAGGGAAAATAGGTACTTACAGAAGAGAGGTCGTGAAAACGGTAGGAAGCGTAAGCGGCTCGGAAAGAGCAAGACGCTACTGTCGTCACTTGCCTGTTACCGAGCTTCGCACACAGGGGGCGCTCGACACCTGCCGTGATTTGAACACCAAGGAAAGGTAGGGTTGGGAGGGGAGGGGGCTCCTCTTAAGCCACAAAGCTTGTCAGGTTTCGTGTTTAGCCCAGTCGAGCTCACGGCAACACCTGGTGGGTGCTTTCCACTCCTGACCGCAGTGGCCAATGGGTCAGAGCCTGAAATAAATATTTCTAGTTTCTGAGGTCAGCTGAAGGCCAAAGAGCAGCTGTCCCTGCACCTCAAACAACAGTGGAGGAGCATGGGGCTTTTTAAAACCTCATTAGCCTTTGAACGTGTGCTTTTCTCCACGAGTAGGGGACAATATTAGGAATTAGCAATGATGGAACTGCAAACTAAATGCCATCCAAGAGTGCCAGTTATGCTCACACGTGGGCTCTCCAAGGAGGGGAAGTGGCCTCATATATGGTGATTGTTCTAGCTACCACAAATGAAAAACAGGGATGAGCAGGTAGGTCTTTCTCTCACCTCGGCTTTCTTTTCTAAGGCTGTCACCTCCTCAAATTAATCAGAACTTAGATTAACAAGAGAAGACCAATACCTTTATCAAGGGTAGGACACCATGCAACATCAGTCTCTTAAAGATTGTTCTCATACAAGATTTATTCCCCAGCACCCACGTACCCACCCACCCCCAATTCACAGTGGAGAACTAAGGAGATTCAGAGCAGGATCCCCCAGGTACAAGAAACACCTTCCAAAGATTTTGCTCTCCTTCCTTCCCTCCCTCTTGCCAACTCCCCAAGGCCTGAAGCTACACACACTCATGCAAACACAAAATCTCACTCCTTTCCCACACCTCCCATTTTTTCCACATCAGAGCTCACCTGTAAGACATCTGGGCTCTGCGAAAAGAGGTGTCCAAAGTCTGTTTGAGAACCCTAGAGTGGGGGGATGCCATTACCCCAAACCTTCACACAAAGATACGTAACTATGGGGCAGGCACCTAGCTCTTCTCCCTTCTCACTATTAACTATCTTCACTCCCTGGCCTCTGTACCTTGTCCATTAACCAAGAGCAAACATGTTAGCGCACCCCACCTGCAGCACATGAAAATGGGCTCTGTCCAACATCCCTCACCCAAGTATGAGGGTGTTGGGGGAGTGGTCCCTGAGGATCAGCAAAGGGTTAATGCAGAGGGAAAGAGGATATAAGAGTTTGGCTTGAGCTCTGATTGGGAAAGCAGAAAGAAGCTATAGACTGGCACAGGTTTAGAACCAATTACTATTTGGGGGCTTTTTTCTCACATGATTTTACTAGGGGTGGCAGAACAGATACCCCTCAGAGGAGTCTGCTGGTTACAGACACATTCTTTCTAACGGCTCATTCTTACAAAGGAGACCCTGCCAAGTTGAGAAGAGTAAGAACAGCTGGTGCAAGAAGTGGTGGCTCCTGGGATGAATACCATGGAGCCATTTGTAAAGTGCCATCCTCCATGGAATTATTGCTTCTCCAAAGGAGGAGCAGAAGGAAAAGGAACATAGAAATGGGTATGGTATTGCTTTGCTCACTGCTCAGGCTGATGATCAAATGGAGCCAGGGGTTAGCAGCACCAAACACAACCACACAGCCCCAGAAGATTCAGTGAGACCTCAAGATACAAAGGCACTCACTAACCCTCCCAGCCAGCTGACCCCCATGGCCCAAGGTGATGTAGAAGAGGTTTATCACCACATCATGTTCACATTTCTTAAATTTCACAAACAATATTTTGGAGGACTGGGGGTCAGGTTTCAAGAAATAAGGATGGGCTAGTAGGAGAGGGAGCAGGGCTGTTCTGCAGAACTAAAAGACAAGCTTGCTTTTAAAAAAAAACCAAATTGTGGCTTAACAAAATAAGTTGAAAATGTAACTCTTCCAGCTGCTGCCTGACTTTGGCGGCTCTAGGGAGGTGATCAAGGGAGGAAGGAAGAGATGGGCTCTTCTATCGGTGAGGGCTCCTGGGCACCCATACCTAAAAGCAAACAGCAACACCTGCTTAAAGGGGAACCAACATCCCTGGCTACTTTGTTCCCCAGAGTACTAACCTGATAGAGAGAAGCCTCCCTCAAGGGAGCATACTCTCATTTCAATGACTGAGCTCAAACATGGGGGTCCAGCTGGTAGTAGGGGAGTGAGTATCCACTCTAAGCAGGCCTCTGAGCATCAACCAGGGCACCAAGCATACAAATATAACTCAGGTGATGGGACCTGGGTTCTTCCCTTGCCCTGTCACCTTAAGTGGGATAGGGAGGGAAAAAACCCTAAACCACAGTGATCCCCAAAAGGAATCTCTGCCTCAGTGGCTCCTGGAACTGGAAGGGTCCAGCTGATTCAGCTCTGACTGGTCCAGAAGTTCAAAGTCATCCCCCTCAGCATCAGTGTCCAGGTCTGAACTGGGGGCTCGGAGGAAGCCTCTTGTTGCTCTCCGGGGAGGTGGGCCAGAAGGGCCTGGCTGGGAAGCCCGTGACAAGGCCAGCTGGATCATACCCTGGGATACCAGGCTGGCAAGGTTGCTGGTGAGATTGGATCCTACAGGTAGGGCACCAAGCAGGAGCTCTGGCAGTGCAGCCTCATCCTGGCTGGCGGTGGGGGCCTGGGGCTCCTCAGCCCCTGGTGGCGAACGGTACATCAAACTGGGCATCCCAATGCTGGTGTCATCTTCATCATCCAGACCAGCAGGATCCACATTAATGGAAGGGAAGTCTGGAAGGTCTCTGGCAAAGGATTCCTCAGGATCACTGTGACCATCGAGGTCTGAGAGAATAAAAGGGTGTCAGAGACATGGCAGCTGCTCGGTCCTCCTGTGCCCCAGTACCACAAAAAGTCAGCCCCACATAACTAGACTTTTCCCACCCTGGATTTCTCCAGGGAATCAAACCCATGGACTGGTTAGCTACTCCCCTCTACTTACAGATGGCTATAATTTCTACTGGCCAGAGAACTCCCCTTCTCTTCCTCTACTGTGCCCCCCTTGAGGCTGGAGCCTGAGGCTACTAAGGGAGAGCGTTCTGAGAAAAGCAGCAGTGCCATCCCACTTATAGCTACACCCCTCAGGCTATTCTGCCACCTGATCCACAGCTCAGAAAACAGGAGCAGAGGGGCACCAGTATCCTCCCTGTCCAGGGAAGCTGAGAGGCAACAGTCAAGAGCCATTATCAACTCAGGTCAAAGGTTCCCCTCACCTTCAGAGCCTTCTGTTAGAGGTGTTTGGCCCCTTGAAAGATTGAATGTGCCATTGTCTGTACAGGAGACCTCAGCATCCGAGTGCTCAGAGTCTGTGATGGCCAATTCCCTGGCAACAGTATAATCATCCAGCTTAAGAAAAGAAAAGACCAACAAACCTGAGATGATGCTTTAGGAATCAGGTACAGTCCCCAGTTACAGCTTTACTAATTAGCTGGCCCTAAGGGCTACCACTGTAACTAGAAATAGATGGGGCCTTTAGCCAAAATCTCTACCTCTTTTAGGCTACTCCCCCTTATTCATCAATCTCTTGAGCCTAGGAAGAAAAGCAGTCTTGGGAGTCAATTACCCACTTACTGTTTGTTTTGTTTTGTTTTGTTTAAAGCCTACAGCACCCAGCATTTCCAAGCAGTCTTCCACCCAAGTACTAACCAGGCCTGACACTTAGCTTCTGAGATCAGATGAGATCAGGCACATTCAGGGTGGTGTTGCCATAGACTCACTTACTCTTGAGCAAGCAATTAATCCAGAGATTACTTTTCACAGATGGCCAGAATGTTTCACACACTGCCCAGAACTAAGGGTGGACTGGGCTGTTTAAAAGATGACACACCAGCTCCAGAAGTTCTTCCATGATGGTAGGATAAAAGGAGACATGGAAGAGGGTGCGCTAGTCACCAGGCTCACATTGAGATCTAGGTACAAAGTCCCAATATAACACTATCTTCTCTCCTTTCACTGCTCTTGGGAGCAAGGGGAATCTAAGGCCTTGTAAAGCCCATGATGAGCTTGAAACCTGGTTACTGCCTAAATGTGAACTGTCAGACGGTTAAAAGAGAACTAAGGAATACTGGCCAGTGGAGCAGCTCCCACACTCAAGATACCTGAGGACAGAAGGCAGCAAGCTCCTCTTCACTGTCACTGTGGTTGTCTGTGGCACGTTCTGGGTGTAGAGCTCTGCGGTGCACTATGTGGAAAGAGCAGAAGATCTTGATGCCTTGGCTGGAGGGGATAAACCCCCCTTTGGACTTCAAAGGCATAAAATCTGAACATAAGAGAAAGAGCCCCTCTGAATATGGCCCTAAGCCTATATAACAATACCTGAGGACAGGGCTGCTGAGCCTAAGTGGCAAGGTGAGCTAATAACACAGGAAAGAAAGTTCTCTCTTCTAACATCCCTATCTCTACTAACTCCCAACATTTCTATTCTAGTCAGATGATCAAATACCAGGCTCATCGTCGACTCTCAGGATCAGCTAGAGGCAGACCTGATGTCAAGGTGGCAAGTGGATATTATTGTAGAAAGGGCAAAAGATGATGCCCACCGTGGTTAAATCAGGCTTTTGAGGACTGATATGATTCAAGTGGCTGCCCCAAGGGGAGGTGGGCCTTGGTGACCATGTGCAGGACTCTTTGAAGGCCAGGGCTTAAGGAAACACCCAACCTGACAAGTCCACAGAAGAGAAGAAAAAGTTCACACTACCATCATTAAAGTGTTGGATGGATCTCAGGCTAGTACACTTCTGGCCTCTGAGGTAGCAGTTTTTAATCACCTT